TTTACTTAGTGAGACCCTGTAGACCCTGTACTAAATATATAAAGAATAAAGAGATTTTTTTTTTTTTAAAAAAAGCAGGACCTAGGTGCAATCCCCAGGCCTCTTCCTTCCTCTAAAAGGATTTCCTAGGGATAGGCTTTAGTTTATCTCCAATTATTATTATAAATGATGCTTCTATAATTTTTTAAAAAATTCATTTATTTATTCATTTATTTGGTACAGGGTCTTGCTATGCTGCTTGGACTCCTAGTGATCCTCCTGCCTCTGCCTCCCCATCACAGGGACTACAGTTGTGCACACCATGCCCGGTTTCTGGGCTGACATGGCACTCCCAGGGCTCCAGGGCTGGCACAGCATGTGGTACTGATATAAGGGAATAAAACTCCCAACCTGAAAGGTACCTGGGATGAGTTCATGTTCTCTAAAACTGAAGCATGAATTTTAGGAACAAACGGAGGTTAAGGGCCTAATGGGGACGAAAACTCCTGTCTGAGAGAGAAGGCCAGAAGAGGGCCCGAGTGGGTTGTCCCTGGGAAACTGTCTCTTCAGGGACTTTTATAGAGTAAAGCCATGTGTTGAGGTGAGTCTAAGGTGGAGAACATGGGAACTCTCTTAGGTGGGCATGAAGTGGGACAAAACTATGGTCAATCAATGAGATTACAGGCACCAGTGCTTGGGTAAAATTGATCAAATACAGAGCCGAGTGGGGAAGCGAGTTACGTAGCAAACAGACACAAATACAGAACAGGAATTTATCTGGTAGCCAGCCAGTAGCAGTTGGATTAGTGACTCTTCCTGGCTTCCTCAAGGTGTTGATCAATCCTGAGTTCTTATCTTTAGTGAGGTCAGCATTTGTTTGATCTTTGATCTTTAGGTCTGGCCCACCATAGGACTGCAGTTACTACGAATCTTGACTCCTGCTGTCTCCTTGAGGGCCCGGCCCTGTCTGACTGTCTATAATATTTTTATCTAATTTAGCTGCCTACAATAGTACTGGGGATCAAACCCAGGTCCTTGCACTTGCCAGGCAGGCGCTTAGACTGCCAAGCTATCTCTTCAGCCTGCTTCTATAATTTTTATTATTCATATACTACATATTATTATGTACTTACTTAAAATAACATGAGAATAAATTCCTTGTGGCATTGTTGGGTCGAAAATTTACATCGAACATTGATAAATGCAATTTAATCCTCCAAAATATTCTCTAAAGCTTAAAAATTCCACTAGCAGTGTGAACACATATTTGTCCATCCTTACCAGGAGTAGATGTTGTCTTTTAATTTTTGGATGAACAGTAATTAGATTTTCATGTCTCTGACTACTAATGGAGCAGCACACTTTATTAGATGTGCACTGGCCACTTTCTTTTCGTCCCATGTCTGTGAATCATTTTCTAATAGCCTTTATTTGTTTTTCCTGTTGTGGTGTTTACCTTCGAGATTTGCAAGAATTCTTCCTGTATCACAGGCATTACTTTCTTCCCCTCCATCTACCTTTCTGTATGTTCCAACCATTTTTCCCAGTCTCTTGCTGTGATTTTATTTTATTTTTATTTTTGCTGTGATTTTAACCTTGTTGGTAGGGGCATGTGGCCCCCACTGATCAGAGGTCTCCAGATGTGTGTGTGGAGCACTTCATTCCCATTCTGGTTTATGGAGAGTGCAGTAACGGGACATATTCACAAGCTGAGGACACGCCTTCTTATTAGGCCATTTTATCTGTGAAGGTGGTTCTTAAGAAGAAAATCAAATGGGCTGGGAAGTCCTAGGTTATTATATCATGTCCTAGTGAATAGGTTTTCTAAGTTTTAATAATCAGCCCCAGGCCTGGGAAGACAGCCCAGTGGTCTGAGTGCCAGCCTGGCTAGCACAAGGACCCAAGTTCAATCCCCGGTACCACATGCCATCCTGTGTCGGCCACTGAAATGGACATGGTGGTGCACACCTATAATCCCAGTGCTGGGGAGGCTGGGATTGGAGGGCCACTCTGAGTCCAAGCCGTGTGGCAAGGCCCTGTACCAAGTACATACATACATATATACATACATACATCTTTAAAATCAGCTCCATATGTGTGTGTTTATGAGTGTTTGTACATAGAGACACTTATGAAGGAGAGATAACTGTAGCTGTCTATCTTTTGTTTACGTACATACTTTTCTATTTATTGTTGATTTAATGCTGTTTTGTTTTGTAATGATTGACAAAAGACTGTAGCTTTTGCAAATGAGCAGGGTGAGCTTTTCTGAGAGGGCCATTTATTACACTGATACTTTTTTCGTTTGTCCACATGCTTCTCGACTCAAATGGATCTGTCAGCATAAACCAATGTTCCACGCTGTGGAGTCTGCAAGTTTATTGACCCAAGTCCTAAATATGTGGAGCAATTTGCTAAAATACTGACACCAATTTTATATAGAGTTATAGCATTCGGTAGGATCGGAGAATCATCTGGGAGACCCTCAGTCCCCAGGAGAACAGAAACAGCCCTTGTGGTGGCGGACGCACTCACTTCCTCTCAGTCGCCATGTCCCTTATCATTGCACCCTACCCTGTGCCAGCTACCGAGGATATAAAGGTGGCAAGGTCTCCGGCCTGAGCTCAGAATTCAGGGGGTGCCCAGTGATCCATAGGTCGCTGCATACCCGAGCACAGGAGATGTGAGATCCTAGCAGGAATGAGAGGAAAGCTGAAGGAGACCCAGAGGATCTGGAGAATCGCAGTGTTCAGGGACTTTTGGATTTGGTGTGGAAATGTGAGCTTGGTTTTGCCAGTGGGTAAATAAAGGAAAGGGCATTTAGGGAAACATCCCAGGAATGGCTGGAATGTGCCAAGGCGAAGACCTTAGCAGAAGGTTCAGGGTGCATGCAACTGTAGTGTGGGATGAATGCTAGCACAGGAAAGTGGAGGCCAGCACCTGCCCAAGGTTGGTGAAATTCCTGTGTGCCATGCCGAGGAATTAAACTTTGTCCTGGACGTATGGCCGCACATGGGAGAGGAGCAAGATCGGCAACGTAGCCAGGTGGGTGACTGATGCCCGCCACTGGCACAGACTGTGCTCGAGGTCACCGAAGCGGCCCCAGTAAGACGTGCTGCGGGCCTCAGCAGCTGTCAACCAGAGAGGAGGGAAAGGGTTAGAGCTTTGTTCAGGTGGTGGGATCAGTAGGACTTGGTGGCCAAATCTGGAGGTGGCATTTGTCTCCCAGGGATAGGAGACAGTATGATGAGCTCTGGAGCTAAGTAGGTTGGGCAGCTAGGGAGAGGTTGCAGCTGCAAAGCAAAATAAGGACAGAAGGAAAGAGGCAGATTGAGATCTGATCCTTACACGGTGATAGGGGCTGAGGAGTTTCCTGGTAGACATCGACAGGGGAAGGTACAGGACTCAGGTGGCGGTCAGGACAGCAAGATTGGTTGGGCCCCTGCGTGCAGGGTGCAGCTGTGTGAGCCAATTAGGTGGTCCTGGAGAGTGTGTGTGTCACAGAGAAGAGGCTGAGATGAGCAGATCTGGGCCAGGATGTGGCAGGGGTGCTCTGCGGACTCATGTGTCCCTGCGCTCTGTAAGTCTCTTACAAGGTATTAGGGGCGAGGAGAAAAAGCACCCAAACAGCGTGAGAGATCAGGAGAGGGGAGGAAGAAAACAGGCGTGAAATGCTACTGCTGCAGCCTGGGAACAAGGGGGTAGATAGTTTCATGAAAATGCCCTGAGGGTGGTATTGAAGGCTGCTCAAAGGTAAATGAGTGGGAGCTGGAGATGGTCAGAGGGCGAGCTCTAACACAGTGGCTGCAGGTGAGCAGGTAGGTGTGGGGCCACAGGGAAAGCCAGGGGTCGGCCAGCTGCCTGGGCATAGTGGGATGAAGACAGCATGGCGCACACCCTAATTGTCCCTTTGGGGCACTGGAGGGGAGCCTGTGGTGTGGGGCAGTGGCTTTGCTGTGTGTTCTCCTGCCACACCACCACCTCTCAGGCTGTGCCTGAAGCAGTGACCCGTGACAGTGGTTCTTGACCACTGATCACAGTGTCAGTGTCACGTGGGAATCTGTTAGTGGTGTGGCCTCTTGGGTCTGACCCTATAAACACCTGGGGACAGAGGGCACAGTGTGTTTCAAGTAGTCTGCTGATAACATCAACGCTAAAATTTAAGGTTAGGGTTAGAGTTAGTTAAAGTTTGAGAACCACTAGCCAATGGTGTAATTTTGAGAAGAAATAGCACAGTTGAGCTGATTGGCCTCTGAAGAGTGAACTTGTGAATGAATCTGAAAGTGAGAGGAATTCCAGGCCTGAGCACAGTAGTGCCTATGACGTGGCTGGGCCAGCGCCCTCCATGCAGGTGACAGAGGACCCGGCTTCCTCCTTCCTCTGCGGAGCCTCAGGCATCTTCTTGCAGTATAAAGCACAGTAGAACCAGCTCTTCATTGATAGAATGTGATTTTACTTGCTTGGATTCTCTGGTTTTATTTTTCTTTCCTGAAAATAATTTCTGATGCTGTTATCTAACCTGTGCCCCCCCAAGCCTCCCATATTCAGAAGTAGAGCTTGGGAGAGGGAGGTGGATCACAGGGCACTGTGGTCACCAGGGAATGAGCCCATTGGTGAGTTCTCAGGTGACTGTGCTGTTGGGGGTGGGGTCTGGTTGGAGGAGAAGGGCCGCTGGGGCCGGAGCTGAAGCTACAGTTTTGCCCCTGGACCTTTCTCCCTTCCTGCCTCCTGGCTGTCTCAGTGGAGCAGCCTTCCTATGCCAGCGCAGCATTTCTGCAGTGGAGCCAGCTGGCCGTGAAGTGAACCCTCTGAATCCCTGAGCTGAAATCAGCCTCCCCTCGTTGGCGTTGTGAATGTTGCCTGTTTTGCCCCCTCCCCGGGAAAGTTCCTAGTGTGGCTCAGTTCAGCTCTAGTATGTGACGTGTGTGCACCTGTCGGCTACGCTGGAGGTCCTGCTGAGCGTTTCTGCTAATCGTCCTGGAAGTTTATCAAAATGCTTGTTTCTGTTTTTGTCCTACCAGGTCTGCGAGCTGGATATTATCTTTAATTTTGAAAAGGCATATTTTATCCTTGATGAGTTTATAATAGGTGGGGAAGTTCAAGAAACATCTAAGAAAACTGCTGTGAAGGCCATTGAAGAATCTGACATGCTACAGGAGGTCAGTACAACTGCCTACGCCCTGGAAAAGAAGATGAGGATAATAAGTGCATTCGCCAGGGCTCAGAGAGTACTTTGTTCTTGGTATATTTTCTAAGAAATTTATGTGTACTATCTCGTTTATTTCCTTCAGCAACTTTAAGATGTAGGTAGTGCAGCAACCCCATTTTACAGTTAAGCAAACTGAGACTTAAAGAGGCTAAGTGACCCACTGAGTTGAGCAGGGTAGGTGTGGGACAGAGGTTTGAACCCAAGCAGTTGGGCTCCTGAGTCTTGTCTCTTCCTGTTTAGCTGAACTTTTAATGTGAAGATACCTCACTGTCAAAAACCTATCAAATGCTTAGTACTGGTTTTTGCAAAAGTAATTTTAAGGGCTGTGTAAAAGGACTGTCATTAAAATATCTGTGCTGCCCTGGGAAACGGGAATGGCAGTACATAGTTATTTCATTTGCAGAGAATATTAGAGCTCTTTTTATTGAAGATGGCATTTATCATTTTAATTAAAATTTCTTACACCCCTGGGAAGGCTGAGTGTGCTCCTGTTTGCATAAATAAATTGGGAACACCATGGTTTGCTCGAGGAGGTGTGAATGGCCCAGATACTGCTTCTGACTCTCCATGAGCCTTACATAAAGTGTCAGGGGACTTTTCTTTAAGGAGCAGCCTTAGATTTGCATCACCCCTCACCTGAGAACTAACACTACCATGGTTCCCTGTGTCCTTCCGGATCAGGGGTGTGCCGTGCTCTGGGTGCTGCCCCAGCTCTGCCAGCCCTGAGCCCGTCTCCCACATCAGTGGGTCTTCCCACCCTCCTGCTTCATAACAGTGATGAGAGGAGGCAGGGCTTTGTATCAAAGCTTTTCACAACTGGTGTTTAGGCCGTTCTTCTGCTGTTTGGAAGTGAAAAGTTAAATTAACTGAACAGTATTGGGTGTGACTTCCTAGCAACGCTGTGGGACCTCCCTGAGCGAAGCATTTTCTCCTGCCCCTGCAGGGGCTCAGTCCTCCGGGGAGCGCACAGGAAGACTGACATCTACTTGAGTGGGACCCTGTGCAGCCCTGGGGGCCTGCTAGAAGGCCAGAACCTTCATTACTTGAAGTACTCTCCTTCAAAATGCATTCAAGCTCTGATATTTACCTGCCTCTCTCGAAATGCTACAGGAAGGAGATTTTATAAGGCACTAGAGAAATCAACAGTTTGGAAATTCCACCAAATAGTATTTCTTAAAATGTGCTGGTGGTTAAAGTTATTATAGTGCTAACCTCGGCTTTGCTAATGTGGACTCTTCTTGGAGGAGGAAATTGACTTCTCTCAGGTTCTTTGGTGCTTCAATAATGAAAGCTTCCTGATTTGGGGCCAGGACACCTGGCTTATGTTAAACCCATCCCTCACCACACACTGATGAATGCAGCGGTCTTGAAGAGCTTAGAAGGAGTCCAGGGATTGGTTCCACCAAGATCTGGGAAACAGCTATTTCCTGGGAGAGCTCTTTTAGAATTTGGCACCACTGGGACTTCATGCCTTGGGTGATTGGCCTGGGAATATCATGGCTGCCCTTAAATTGCTCTCCTTGGGCCGGCCAAACAGCTCAGCTGACTAAAGCCTTTGTGTAGCAGAGTCCAGCGGCTGGGGTTCAATCCCCAGCCTGCTTTGCTAGTCCTGCGCCTGGGACGTGCTGAGACAGCTATTGACACTGGGCGTGGTGGCATGCCTCTGTAATCCCAGCTCTGGGGAGGCTGAAAACAGGAGAATCACTACAAGTCCAGTCTATATAATGAGTCCTTGTAGACCCTGTCCTAAATACATTAAAAAGTTTGCTCTCCTTAAATTAACAGCTCCTCCCAGATAGAGCCAGTGTTACAGTTTTCCTTTGTGGCTCTGGCACCTCCTTCAGGGAAGTCAGAGAACATTTTGGGGAGCTCGTTGAAAAACTGAATGTATTATGTAGTCTGCTTGAGAAAGCTTAGAATCAGTAGAGGAAAATGAAATATGTGCAGAAAGTAAGAAACAGTTGCTTTCTTTATTTTATGTTCTTTGGACCTAAGCACACGTTTTTAGTTACTGTAGGTTAAGGAGTGACATTGCTTTCACTTTGCAAACAGCTGTAAAGCCTTCCTTAGTCCACTTCAAAGAAGTTTCTTTTTTTAAGAAATTATTATTAATTTTATTGAGAAACAAATAGCATTGAGACAGTTTCAAAACCAATTAGGACAATTTCAATAATTAATACATTGCATATTGTTGTCTTTGTAGTGGTTATTCATAGTACAAGATGCAGACATGATATCCCATACAAACACTATTAGTACAAATCATTGAATTAAGAGAAAGTAGCTGTATATCTATCCTAACTATTTTGTATATACAGATACAAAATGGTCCTTCAATTGTATCCCCTTTTTTGTTTAGTTTTTCAGTGATGGGTATTCCATTGCCATTTAAATATTGTAGGTGAGTAAATTCAGCAAAATAATCCAATATAGTTCACTAGTCCATAATAATAGTGGGTCATCCGTAGGACGGGCAATGTCAGAAGTTAACCTTGTCAGATACAAAAGTTACATTTCTTGTTATATAGGTCTTGCTTTATCTTGGTCTTAACCATCCAGCAGAAAAGTCTAAAAATGAGGTATAAAAAGTAAAGCCATCTTAATATGCTGAGCTGTAAAAGGCTCAAATCAACAACTTCTGAAAGAAGTTTCAAAGGGGGAAAAAGCGAAAGAAAAAGCCGACCTTACATATTTAGTGTGAAGCAACATAGTTTCTGATCTTCAAATGCTCAAGGTGTACTCTGAGTATAGTAGAGCCAGAGAGTGAGAAGAGGGGAGCGATGGTTTAATTGATTGGCGATGACGTAATTGGGAGGGAGGAGCTGCAGTGTGGCAGAGGAGGAACTTGGTACAAGGAAAAATTTTGAGGAATAATAGAAGTTGCACTTCCAAGAATGGCCAGTGGGGGTGCCATCAGTAACTCTGACACAGTTTGTCAAGGGATGATCGATATAGAGGATTGGATGCTGGACCATCTGCTTGGTGCGCCTCCAACACTGTTACCTTTCAAAGCATAAGCCGTGGTAACATAACCCTATCATAACGCAGTAGAAGGTCATCTCATGTACAGTGTAGCACCTGTAAGAAACATCGCGGTACTAGCGTAGGAGGAGTCTCAAAATAGGCACTGCAGCCTTCGCCTTGTGAAAGCAAGGGCAGAGCTTCTTAAAATGTGTGCCAATTGAAAAAGGCAAGTTCAAGAAAATACCAACTCTTACCTCCCTGGTTCATGCATGGCTCAGACAGGCAGCCTGTGCAGTGTTCAGCAGTGGAGTCACAGGGCCTCTAACTGACCAGGCTTCTTTGAGGCCGCAGAAGTGGGCTGGTGATGTGCTCAGACCGTTACAATTTTAGTCATATTCGCAGAAGTCAGATGTATTAACTTAAAAGCCATACGGTGAGCATACAGTATTAAAATACATACAGTATTATAGTAGATAAAAGGAGAGTCAAGCATTCAGTTCATGAGAATAGACACACTTGTTCTGGGTTTTGTGATATTCATGCTCTTATAAATATTAATGATCTGTCCTTTCCACCTTCACTCTAAGTAAACTTTGCACCTAATTTTGTATTTGTAACCTTGTGATCCTTTTTAAAATGGCAACAGCTCTAGGCATTGGGCTAGAATGGGCTGTGGCCAGTGTGATATCCTGGGTAAGTTAATAAACACGAGTGGCCTCTTTAGGAAGGAGTACTGAGGAGAAATCTTAGGGGTGTGAGCCTCCCCTGGGCATTACTCATTTAGAGGGGTCAGAGCTTTAGAAGAAACTGTGCATGACCAAGTGTAAGAATTTTGAGCCGTAGAATCCAGGCATTCTAAAGAAAACAGGCAAAAGCAGTGAGAAAGGCTGATTTGTGACCCTGGATCCCTTAGGCAATCTCGCAGAGCCATTGGCCCTGGTTTCTTTGGCCTCTGTGTCAGTATTTCCAGGCGGGTTCTCGGGGTCCCATAGGATCAACATGGAAGAAACGGGGTGTTGCTGTGATAACTTGCAGCCCCCTTGAGCTGTCTTCTGTTGATTCAACCTGCAGCTGCGGTCTTGCACATACACATGTGCCAGTAGCAGGAGGTGGTGTAAGGAAGCACCGTCCCTGTGTAATTGCTTATCCTTGTGAATCTTTTCAAACATGCAAACAATCAAAAAGCACTGAAAGAAAGTGATAGCCTTGTGACTTGTTAGCAAGCCTTGAATAGGATGGAGAAGCAATTTTCATCTATTTTGGAGGAAAGCCTTTTCAAAACCATGCCAGAAATCCTTCAGGATTATGGTGTGTTTCCATTTTATATCTTGGCAGTAAGTGTCATAAATATGTTCTAGAGTAGATAGGAAACAGCACATAGGTTGTACAAATTCACTTGAGACTTTCCTAGTACATGTGCCTAGACGGGATGTCCACGACCACGTTAGCAGGCATTTATCTTAAAGTCAACAGTGACACATCGGCAGCTGTTGCTTTTGCATCTCTCTTATAAGACATTCATTTTATGACCAAGCTTAGCTTTTTCTTAGTTGAAAGTTGTATGTAGTTCCAGCCATATGGTTGTGTATACAAATGATACTCCTCCAACTTTGGACTACCTTTCTTGATCGGAACACAAATAGTTATGTCCACAAATGCTTTTGAAACCCTTCCTTAGTGGTAGTGAATAAAAGTATAACAGAATAAAAAGGATTTCATCATCTGTAGGAGGATGTGATTTAAAAGAAAAAGGTGTTCTAATTCATTGTTCTCTTTCAGACGATGGAAGAATATATGAACAAACCCACATTTTAGCCATGCGTCTACTTGAGGACTCAGTGCTCTGAGCTGTGCACTATGAAGAAACAACACCCTGTATCCAGTCTTGACACAGTCTTTAGCGCCATGCCAAAAAATGACTTAACGGGATTCCTTATTAACTAGCAAAAATGGAAGTTGGTTAGCATAGTACATTTATGCTGGCTACATGTCTGTATTGTACTGTATGTGAGTATTTACCCCGCCTCCAGCTGTTTGAAATGACTGTTGCCTAAGCCAATCATCTAGTGATTTGGAATATTTTAATTCCATGTGATATTTCCAAGCTAATTTCAAAATATTATTTGCAGTATATTTGTGTTGCATTTGATCTTTTACTGACGGTTTGAAAACCATATTGGCTAACCCATGATTTTGAGTGTAAAGTGTACCTTCTATCGCTGTTTGCCTTCCTAAGTATTTAGTTTTCTAAGTTGTATATGAATTCAAAGTTATATTAATAGTTCAGAGTTCATATATAATGGTAGGCATATTTAATAGACTCAATAGTACTGTAATTTCTGGTCAGATACAATGTATCTGATGTTTATGTCTTGAATTCTTTTTTTTTTTTTAGGATGTGAATTAAGGAAGATAACCAAAGAGAATATAGACTTTAACACATGTTTTTGATGTCTTAGAAGCTTCTGTGTAGGCTGAGGTTTTCATTTTGGCTTTTGATTAATATAAGGAACATTTCAAGAAGTTTAGGTTTTCTACAAACTCCATGTTTAGATCTCAAAAAATTTTGAGATACACTGTCTATGATATCCTTTATTATAAAAGTAGTATGATAGCATTTAATTATAGTAGCAATATTATGACAGTCTCATATTTGAGCCATGCCTATTGACTTGAGAGATTTTGTTTAAATTTTTTTTTTTTTTTTTAACTTGAGAATCTCAAGGCATTGCTTATGGAGGCTTTATTATCTTTGCAGCCTAGGCTCTAGATGCCTTGCTTCCCCCCCACCCCCCGCCCTCTGAATAAGTTATTTGCTGCTGACCATTATGATTGGGCACATCACTTTCATGCCCCCTAGAATGAAAATGCTGCATAACTGGTACTGACTGTGATGAGACATGTTTTGGGGAAATAACTCAGTATATTCTGCATCGGTTCCTACCTCTGACCTTTCCCTGTTCTTACTTGATGATAGCTTCAAGGTCTAGTGTCACTCAGTGGAGGCTTGGGGACCCTGTAGCACTTTTCCCCAGGCTCTTGTGTTCCACGGGTTGTTCTTCCTTGTGGGAGAACATAGTGGCAAAATGTCATTTTTGTTTCAACTGAGCAAACATGCTTTGGGGGAAATTAGCAAGATAAGAGCAGAAGAAAAGGGAAACAAATTGACCCATTCCTCAGTAAAACCATTTCTTTAACAATTAATTCACATTAGCATAGGAAGTAGTCATTTGGCTTTTAGTGTCTGATATTTCCTCAAGGTAATGATGAATTACAATTATGGCATGAGATTGAAATTTATTATTTTTGATCACTTTGTTTATTTTGGGAGTTCCATTTTGTGCTTTAACTTTTTAAAAAACATGACATAACTCGATTTTTCAAAACAATCTGTAAAGACAGACTTTATATAAAATCTATCACTGTCTTTCTGGCTATTTCTAGATGACAGTATCTCGAGGCTTTTCACTATTTTTAGATGACAGTATCTCGAGGCTCATTAAGTATGCTACATATGATCTGAATAATTCTATATTCAAATTGGTCAGGCTACACACAGGGTTTCGCAGGGCTCCTGTCAATGTCACACACAGAAATGATCATACTTTGTGGCACACTGGGGACATTAAGAGACTTGTGAGATGTCTTATATGAGCTTGGTAAAAGTAATCATTCTGTTTTCTTTATGCAGCAAAAGTACCAAAGAAAAGGAAAGACAATATATATTGAATTTGTATAAAACTTCCAATAAAATGTTTTTTAAATTTTTAAAGAGGATTATGAGTATGCTTTCTAGAATATGTTTGTTTTTAAATCGGGTTTGTGCTTGAAATTGCTACATGTAATTCATGGCCAAAATCCTTGGAATACGACCTCTTCATTTTCCTGTTGCTTACTGTTAAGGACCAATCGCACAAGGAGGTGACAGCAAGTGGGAGAAAAGTTACGCATTTGTTCCTGCTGGCTTCTCACTGTTGGTTTTGACACTCTGTTGTATGTGCAGTTAGGAAGTGATCACTGTTTACAATTAGTAACAACTCTTTTTCTTTCAATAACAAATGTAAAGCTATTTTTGATAAAACAAGTTGTTGGGTTTTTTTCCTCATATTGAATCTCCTAAAATAATGAGGATTTTTATCGAGCATACTGTGCTTTGAAACCTAATGATTCTTTCGGATCCATATTATAATATCCATGAAACACCATTGGTGAGCTGTGCTTGATTTCACTTTGCTACTAACCATCAACAAATTATGTTGGTGGATGTTTAATGTATTTTCCACATGGCCTCAGCCTATTTTGATGAAGTGCATGCATTCAGATGCCCTGGCCCATGAGGAAAGAATGGAGCTAGCTAAGGAGAGTGCTGGCAAAAGAATGGCTGGCCAGCCTTCTCGGAGCCTACTTTCTGGGCTAGAGCTGAGACCTGTAGTGGCCAAGGAAACAGTTGGGACAGGAGGGAGCCCACTTTCTGGGTCTACAGCCATGTTTCTGAGTTAGATATTGGCCCAGGGCCTGGCTACCTGGGTCTAAACACAACGGGGAAAAAGTAACCGGGTAACTCCGCTTATACACAGTAAGTCTCTGGGCATGCATCTGGTGGTCTGCTGTTGTTCTGCATCTGGTAGTTGCTTTGTTCGGCTCACCTTGTGGCCAACTCTTAAGTACTATGTCACTGACAGTGCAGATTTGATACCTCTTCCCCTGGGGCTTTAGAGGCCATAAGAGGCCAAAACCTCCACGTGTGATGAGAGGCTGAGTCAAGGTGTCCCATCCCTCCCAAAATCCTAAGGCTTGAAGCCCTCAGTACCATGAGCCTTTCTCACCGGCTTGCCCCCACTGTGAGCAGTGTATCTTGTCTTTTCTCTTTCAAGTAAATCTTTGATCTTGCTTCTACTCTTGAGTGTCCTGCTCAGTGCTTTGTTTAGGACATCAAGAACCTGGACACTTGTGTTACCCCCAACCCAGTAACAGAATGACTATTTTCCAATAATATATAAAAAGTAGGCCATTAATTGTTTTAAAATAACTCTTGGTTTAACAAAATTCTGCCCATTCAGCAATGTGCTTTAATATACAACAACAATAATCTATTTGTCATATAAAGCTAAAGCCAGAAAGACCTGTAACACCTAGGCCTTTGTTCGGCTCACCTTTGATAGAACTGTGGAATGTGGAATTCAGTCCTGCACACAAACTGCTGGAATGAACTCACATTCGTTCATTCATTTGGATGAGCTCATGCAGTAACTGCTTCTCAGGTCTTCCTGGGTCTGAGCTGTGGTGCGTAACACACACACTGTCCGTCACACTGTAGTTCAGGGCTCATTTACTGTTTTACTTCTTACTTTATTTTGCAACTTTACTGAATAAATCATGTTGTAAACATTTCTCTTGAGGAATTCACACTTACTAACGAAAGCCAATTCATCTGAGATGATACACTTGTGATTTAACTGTCTTCCAGATTAGAGTTCTGTCCATTCTTCGACATGACCTTTATTTATTATAACTCTGATTCAAAAGTATTTTCCCTTTGGCAAAACTTGAAAATTTCTGTGCAAGCTGGTTAAGACCAGCAGTTGTGCAATTGTAATATGTGGGCTTTTCCACTCTAGCCATAACTAAGGTGGTTCTTTTTTTTTAAATTTTTATTTTTTAAAGAGTACAAAACATTAGGGCCGGGGAGATGGCTCAGTGGAATAAGCGCTTCCCTGGCAAGCGCAAGGGCCTGAGTTCAATCCTGGTTCTGCCAAAAAAAAAAAAAAAAAAAAGTACAAAACAGTATTAAAACAAAAAATTACAAATTATACAGATTTTCACTGAACAAAATAATATGAATTTCACATAGTATTTGTTATATTGCATAGTGTTATTTTCAAATTAATTGTCGTATACAAAGGTGGCTCCAACTTTAAAAAAGTTATTTCTTATTTTCTACATGTTTTAAATTTTTTTTGAATTTTAATTAATTTATTTGTTTGGTACAGGATCTCACTACGCAGCTTGAATTTGTATTGATCCTCCTGTCTCAGCTTCCCCAACATTGGCATTACAGGCGTGTGCCACCATGCCTGGTTTTGGTGGTCGGCATGCATGCCTGGGGTTCCAGGGCTGGTGGTATGCAGTACCGGGGATCAAACCCTGGTCATTGTGCTTGCCAAGTAGGTGCTTAGACCACCAAACTATCTCCCCAGCCCCTGCATGTTTAAAACATCTTTTTTTTTTTTTTTTTTTTCTGAGAGAGAGTCTCACTGCATATTTCTGGTTGGCATTAAACTCAACTGTGTAGCCCAAGCTGGCCTGGAAATTAGTGATCCTTCTGCCTCAGCCTTTGAATACTGGGATCTCAGGAGTGTGTTACCACATGCAGATTAAAATGTTAATATTGTGTGTAAAATGATGTTTCATAGAGATGCCCCTGCTTCTCTTCCCCCTCCCCTCCCCTCCCCTCCCCTCTCTCTCTCTCTCTCTCTCTCTCTCTCTCTCTCTCTCTCTCTCTGGATCAGGGTCTCTCACTATGCAGTTCAGGCTTCCCTTGAACTCACTTTGTAGCCCAGGCTGGTCTGGAACTCACAGTGATCCCCCTGCCTCAGCCTCCCAGTGCTGGGATTATAGTTGTATACCACCACGCCCAGATTCGTATTTTTCCTTCTTCCCTCCTTCCCTACCTCCTTCCCTACCTCCCTCTCTTCCTTGGTCCCTCACTCCCCCTCCCTCTTTCTTTTTTCCACTTTTTCTATTTTTGACACAGGATCTTACTATGTAGCTCAGGCTGGCCTTGAATTTGCAGCAATCCTGCCTCAGTCTCCCAAGTGCAGGGATTACAGGCATGCACTATTATATGTGGCTTCATTCTTTTCTGTGATAACGTTTTAAAGTAAA